GATTTTTATTGTGTGTGTTACAACCGGATTAGAAGTATAAGTTGAGATGGGTTGATTAAACGGTAACCAGGAACAAAGTAAAGCAGAGAGCTCGCTCGCCGTAACTGATTTCCTCTCTAGATTTACCCAAGTAGGAACAGGATTGTCCTCTCTCAACCAGCACAGTAAGGCTCTAATGTTGGCCGCCCAGTAGTAATATAAAAAGTTGGGGAGTGAAAAGCCACCAAGACCATGGGGTAACTGTAACATCTTACTGCCTATCCTGCACATTGAGTTTTGTAAAATTCAAATGTTATTGTTAATAGTGAAAGTAAATTCATATTTTTATCAAGACTTTTATGAAGTTGTAGCAGGTTCCCATTTTAGCCAATAAAATATGTAGTCTTGACTGGTTAGCTATATATGACAGCAGTAATAAATGAAGCCTAATGACAGGTTTCAAAGTCATAAAAAGCAAAAAGGAAACAAATCATACTATTTTCTAAAAATATATTTAAACTTGAAATATTCACTCCAGGTATCTCATCTGTTGCTGCACACAGGGTTGTTTTGATCACAGAACTACCACACTGTTAAATAATACTCTGTCAAGTAGCCACTACGATTAGTCAGAAAGGGAACGTGAACGATACCTGTTGTTAACTCCAGAACTGTTTGGTACATGCGTCAGCTGTTTTCATTCCGGTGCAGAAACAGTGTGAGATCGAGGACAAGCAGCAAATTTCACTTTGTCGTCTTTTCTGTTCAGTTTAAAATTATCCCACACTTTTCACCTTTTCTGACATTTTCTGAGCACCTCGTTTTGGGACTCTTCGTCTCATTCCATCGCTAAAAGTAGCCCTTAGTATACACGCGACAACAGTAACCGCTAGTGGAAGCGCTAACGTTGTAGCGTTGTATAACTCAAATAGCATTCTGGCCAGCAAAAGTGCGGTGATTTTAACAGTCCCTATTTTTTACGAAGCTTCGAGGCAGATAATTTGCCTCGAGGGTTTTCAGTAATCAAATTACTCTAATTATTCGAGGACTTGTTGTAGCCCTAATATCGACTCAGTTTTACATATCGGAGCATAACCGATATTCTAAAAAACGACCAATATCGGCAGATACCGATGTTAATGCCGATATACCATGCATCTTTACCTTAAACTTAATTTACGTCTCAGAGCTTGTGGGACTGAAAAAAAATCAACAAAATTAAATAACCATCTCCCAACCCGCTATGCCTGTAATTCCCCACCCCTCTGCTTCATCCTCCCTGCTCTTCTGCGCTGCAGACTCTTATCTCTGTCCCACGCCCCCCGTGTGAGTGATATAGATTGTTCTGTGAAAATTATGGATTTTTGAGGGTTATGATATTGGTAAAATCCAAAGTTATCGACATGTATGTGCTTTATTCTGAAAGATCTCAGTCTGGCAGTTAACCTTCTGTTCTCCTTGTCTTCCAGTAAAGTCCAAACTTTAGCTTTAGTTAGCTCAGCTTGAGACTGTGTAATGGTGGTGTTGGGTTGTTGCTATTTAATCTTGATTATTATGGGGCATGTGTGCGGTGTACCAAAAAAATCAATTCACATCAGAATCGTGATTCTCATTTACAAAGATTCAGATTCCATTTAAAATGTCCAAAAATCGATTTTAAAAAATAAAACAAATCCAATGTTTGTCAGTCTCAATGTCACCACACAGCTGCTTCTGGAACGTATGCATTTGCAGAAAGCACCAAAACAAAGAGGAAACTATAAAACCTGAGGAAAGAGATTCAACCGGTCCCATCTTTATTGAAGGCAAAGATTTGGGTCTGAGTTTGACGTGAGCTTCACTGTGTGCAATGTTTGCAAAATCAATATGAAGCACTTTGGGAACACAACAAATAGGCTCACATTATCAGGTTTGAATGAAAAATCTATTTTGAATCGGATCATAAGTTTGTAAAAGATTCACACTCCTAATAGGGGACGTTTTAAAATTGTTACATTCATGCTACAGAATATCTCAACATGACCAACAAATCTGTGGCAACATGGCACAGATTTGTTCTGGTCAGCAATGGATAAGATGTGCATCTATATTTAATAATGTGCTGCAGGGCGTGGAGGTGAGAGTTTAAAGCTCATCACTAGAACAACAGGAGCCAGAGTGGTCTTTTCCAAAGAGAACACACAGAACACAGCTGTAAATGGCAAGATGACAATCACAGGGACCAGACAGGAAGTGAGGCAAGCCAAGGTGAAGCTGAAGTCCCTTGTTTGCATCATCTCTGTTTTTATTTTTCTCAAAAGTTAATGCAACTCATTTTGCTCTGGTTTTACAGGAGATGATTCAACAGAAAGTCAAAGAGGACATGATGGTGAGAACAAAAATCTCTCAGTCCTCCGCCCTCCGTCAGAAGCGTCATCATACAGGGATGAGTCAAAAACCAGATGGCATGGAGACCGACTCACCGCTGGGTTTGAACAACAATGGTCCCGTCTCCTGCACAGACGGGAACAAATTTGTCCACTCTAATGGAACCATGGGAGATACTGAGTTAAAGAATCCAAAAGTGACAGAAGAGGAGGAGGAAGATGAGGAGGAGGAGGAGAGTTTCTTTTCAGAGTCACTCTCTGAAGTGTCCAAGTTTGAAAGTTAGTCCTCTCTGTTCTGTGAATCCCTCCTAATGTTTCTGGGAGTGCAGTCATGATGTCATCTGTATGTTGCAGTTCCTAGCCCTGACCTGAGCTTCCAGCCTGATGAACGCTTAGAGGTTTATGTTTCTGCATCAGAGAACCCAAGCCACTTCTGGATCCAGATCCTGGGTGTGCGCTCCCTCCAGCTGGACAAGCTGACGGGGGAGATGAACTCTTTCTACAGTACTGGAAACTCCACAGTAAGGACATGCTCTGTACTCGTTAAGATACTTCATGGAGCCAAAGACTCCACTGATCATTTTGTTTCTACTCTGGACATAAGAAGTAAATGGTTGTCAGTGATTGTCAACCTCTGAACATAATCTACCTGGGATCAGTTGAAGTTCAGTGTTTGTTATTATGGTAATAAGGTTTGTACCAGTCAGTGAGTAATCTACCTCTCTGTTACATCCTGATAGTTTTAAACTGACTGAAGCTAGGTTAGCTTGTAAATTCAGTCTTCTTAGCAAAAAATACACTTGAATTCCTTTTTAATAAGTATACTTGAGTATACACTCACCGGCCACTTTATTAGGTACACCACGCTAGTAACGGTTTTGTGGTCATAAAGGGATGGACATGGTCGGCAACAATACTCAGGTAGGCTGTGGCGTTGCAACGATGCTCAATTGGTACCAAGGGGCCCAAAGAGTGCCAAGAAAAGATACCCCACACCATGACACCACCACCACCACCAGCCTGAACCGTTGATACAAGGCAGGATGGATCCATGCTTTCATGTTGTTGACGCCAAATTCTGACCCTACCATCCGAATGTCGCAGCAGAAATCGAGACTCATCAGACCAGGCAACGTTTTTCAATCTTCTATTGTTCAATATTTTTGAGCCTGTGTGAATTGTAG